CATGGTTTCAGGAAGCTCGGGGCATCCTTTGGCCGAAAGGAAAGTCTGTAGTGGCCCCCGCTTGGGGTGGTTCAACCGTAAGCCCTTACGCCTACACCAACTCACCTTACAACCCAACCGTCCCACAAGTTGACCGAGCGGTAGCAGCGTTTGTGGCCGTGAGCCCTCGGTTGAAGGAGGATTGAGGGTACCGCAGGCATTCTTTCGCCATACCTGGACCTGATCGCCCGCGAGAGCAACTTCACAAGGAAAGGTAGGGCCATTGCATGTGGCCGACACAGCATGGGTCGCCCCACTATCCAGGAGAGCCCTATCTGACACCTCGGCCGTCTGATGGTCCAACGATGCAACCTCGGCGACAACCTTTGCCTGGGCTTGCGAGCCCTGCGCAAGCTGATTCTGCAAAGATGCCAGCTGTTCCTGCAGGGCATCCAACGAAAGGACGGGAGTCCCGGCGATGGGCACCGCCTGTGCTTGCGCAGCCGCCGCCTGCGTGGGAAGAGTAGTGTCCCTGGCGGGAGGTGGAGCCTTCGGAGTGCTTCCAAGAGCTTCTAGCAACTTTGCAGCTCCTGTCACAAGGCCTTGCACCTGCTGGGCATCCGGAAGGTTACCTTTTGGCTTAGGTGGGTTGGGAGGCTTCTTAGAGGGTGACGGGGCTGAGGAACTATCACCTGGCTTATCCCTCTTAGGCCTGGCGCAGCCATCCGCCCTGTGGCCTTCTCCGCCACAGTTGATGCAGAGGTTTGCCCGCCGATCCTTAGGGATGCTGGCCCAATTGTGCGGGCGACGGCACTTGCCCCCATATCTGCAACCTTGACCACCGCGAAGAAAGGCACGGCAATCCTCCGAAGACGCCGGGACCTCGTCACCGGCCCCACCTTTAGGTACGGCAACCGCCTTTGGCTCCGGTTTGGGTTTGTCTTTGGAGGGATCAAGCTTCGGGGGCTTCTGGGGCGCTGAGGTGCCAGGGGTGTCTATAGCCTGAGCTTTGCACGCATCCCCGGACTTCAGGCGGCTCACCACCTCAAGCTCACTCAACAGATGCTGATGCAGCTGGTCCACCTTGGCTGACGTAGGCAGCACATCAACCTGAAGGCTCGCCCTCGTGAGAGAAATTCGGAACTGGATCTCCGGGAAATCTTGCAGGGGCTTGGCGGTGATGGTGTTCAAGGCCTTGAGGAGGATGCTGGGGTCTGGTAGCGTTCCACCCAGCGACACGAATCTGCTGCACCACCGACGCCAAGACCGAAGCTCAGCGACCGCTTCTTTGGGACTTTTGGCAGCTTGAGGGTTTGTCAAACGACGAAGGCCTTCTTCTCGCTCCTGCAAGGAACCGGGGCCGAAGATAACGTACAGCCGACACATGACAGGGAAAATGCCAGCGATGCGGGCTGCGGATATTTCTTCCTTCACCTCGCTGGGCGAGGCCTCGAGGATCATGGACTCCATTCGAGTGCGAGTCCTGTTCCATTTGGAAGACATCAAGGCAGGTGAGGGATCGGTGCGAAGGGAGAGCCTGCTGAGGGGATCCGTTGCCAAGTAAAGGGCATACCACGCCTCTGTCTCCTGCTTCAGGCACGACCACAACTCTTCACTAGAGTCTGACAGGTCAGCCATTGCTGGCCCTATGGCGTGTAACCAGTCCGCAAATGTCAAAGCCGAGGTTCCGGAGGGCGTTGGCATCTTTGGAAGGGCTGATATACCAGGCTTCACAGTCTCCGGACCACTGGCAGTCCTTCCTTGAGAGGTCAGGGCAGCAACCAACTGTTGCAGCACATCCAGACTCAACCCGTCGGCACCTGTCGGCAAAGGGGTCCCGGAGGAATTTGCCGGTGTCGTGTTCGCTGGAGACTGCTGCGTCGGAGGTTGATGCCAATTGCACCCCTGATGCCCCGACGAGGGACCCAGAGAGCACTGTGTAGGAGGGATATGCGATGGAGCGGACGCCTGGTGTGCACCAGGAACCTGTGCTGCTGCGCCTGCAACCTGTGGAAAGGCACCTGTGACCTGTGCTGCTGCACCTGGAACCTGTGGCAAGGCACCTGTGACCTGTGCTGCGACTGCTGCTGCACCTGGAACCTGTGGCAAGGCACCTGTGACCTGCGCTGCGACACCTGTGACCTGTGCTGCTGCACCTGGAACCTGTGGCAAGGCACCTGCGACCTGTGCTGCGACACCTGGTGAAAGGGCACCTGTGAGGGCTCCTGTGACCTGTGCTGCTGCACCTGTGACCTGTGCTGAGGCACCTGTGACCTGTGCTGAGGCACCTGTGACCTGTCCTGTGACCTGTGCTGAGGCACCTGTGACCTGTCCGGCGACCTGTGCTGCTGCACCTGGAACCTGTGGAAAGGCACCTGTGACCTGTGCTGCTGCACCTGTGACCTGTCCTGTGACCTGTGCTGCGGCTCGTTGCGTGACCTGTCCTGAAACACCTTGAACCTGTGCTTCGGCACCTGGAACCTGTGCTCCGGCGCCTGGAACCTGTGGGCTCACGGGCTTAGAAGGGGCCTTAAAGTAGGATATAAGGTTCTGAGGATTAGGGATGGGAATGGACGGTCTTGGACGAGGCATCGTTGGCACGAACGACGACGACGAGGCCTGGCTCCCTAACCCTAACACACCCTTAACCCAACCCCAACCTTGCCCAGGACCGGTGTCCTGGTTTTGAGCCCTTTGGCCCATCAGTTCCCTACGAAGGGCCAGGTTTTCCTCGGCCAAGGCATTCAGCTGGGCATTGTGTTCATGCTGCAGAAGCTGCATCTGCCTCCTCACCTCAGCCTGGATGACCTCTGTCGTGGAGTCACTGCTGGCAGAGTGGGACAGGTGCGCCCCTTCAGACATAGCCCCATACAGCAGCGGAGCCTCCTGCGGCATCTGAAGAAGTCGGTTCGCCACGACTGGATCAAGCAAAGAGTCCCCACTGGCGACGCCCGCATTTCCGTCGGTCGGCGACGGAGGTCTCGAGCCCGCTGTCAGAAAGGCGCTTCCTGCGGCTGACCCAGTCGACGGTTCAGTTCCACCAGCCAGCTGCTGGCGCATGGCCTGAATGGTGGTCCAAAGCTCGGCCACCACATCCTGAGTGGCCCTATCATCTGCAGCTGGCGTGCCATCTAGGGCGCCAACTGGCCTGCTCAGACTCATCGGAATCCGTCGCCACCTGAGCACCATGACCCAACGCAGCTGTCGAAGACGAGCGGCTCGTCGACAGCCCCATTCCAGTTGCACCACGTTGCGCCGAGTCCGGTGAGTCGGAGCCGCCAAGCTCTGCTGTGGGTCGATCCTGACTACCCAAACCACGTCGCGCCGAGTCCGGTGTGTAGGATCCTCCATGCCCTGCCGTCTGCCAAACCTGACCATCCAAACCACGTCCTGAAACCATGGAGCTTTCTGTAGCCTGACCAGCCATTGTAGCTCCATAGCCTTCAGTGCTCCGAGGCTGATGGCCATTTCCATTCAGCAGCGGCCTGCTTCCTGCGCCGGTAACGGATTGGGCGCTCATAACCCGTAGATCTTCAGCAGATATCTCAGCCAAAGAAAAGGATGTTGGTGCACTTCTTGAGTTGTGCGTGTCAGTCCAATGCACAGATGGGCCTGCTAATCTTCTCCAGTATCGTTCCCAATACCAGACCAGCGAGGGCAACTCCCAGCCATGCAAGAACGAATCGGACTTTTCTCAATGTCGCAACAACAAGCTGAGAGAAAGCAGTGCTCATGAATGCGAAGCTTCTACTTGCATTATGCTGTACATGTCTGCATGTTTGAATGTTCGTCCCAAGGGGCCTTCTTTCCCGTAGCCACCCCTGAGCCCGAACAAGCATCCGTATCAAAGATTCACCCTTGGGGTAGAAAGATGGAAAAGGGGAGGGGGTGTCCTTTAACAATATACTATGCTTGAAAAGCGCAACTTGCACAATCAGGCTTAAAAAATGCACAAGAATCCTAGAAAAGTACTTAGTGAAGGCCATACACAAGCAAATTCACAAATACATAAAAACATCCAAAAGCGCAAGCTTTTCAGGAGAATCTCTGGTAAAGTTTGGATTATAGGGTTTTGGGGTATTCCTGGACGAGCAGGCGTCACTTTTTAAGCAAACAATTCTAAGCAATAAATGTTTTTTCTCAAGACAAGTATTGCAAATGCTGCTGCTAGATAATTAATCGCATTTACCAGGCAAATATTATCCATGCGAATTGAGCTACCAGAGCACCAAGTAATGGCTGAATAAGGTCTACTACACTTGAGTACAACCAAAAGATGCACTAAACACTAGCGGCTCTACTTACATAATAACGAAACAAATAGTTCTGAAGCACTAGAAAAGACCACTTGTATACTATTTCTGAAAAGCACAATTAGCATAAGCACACTTAAACATGCGTAGTTGTTGCCTCGTGACCGTGAAGGCGAACCAAAAAGCCAAAATACCAAAACAAAAAACCCAAAATACCAAAAACAAAAAAACCAAAAAAAACAAAACCAAAAAAACCAAAAATACCAAACAAAACCAATTTTCCGGGACTCTTGGAGAAGCCTCATAGGGATTTCCTGAGAGTCCCGGAAAATTGGTTTTTTTGGTGTTTTTGGTGTTTTTGGTTTTTTTGGTTTTGTTTTTTTTGGTGTTTTTTGTTTTTTTGTTTTTTTTGGTTTTGGTTTTTTGGTTTTTTTGGTTTTGGTATTTTGGGTTTTTCTACTGTCCAGTGTATGCGATGTAGTTGTATTTTAGTCTACGCCCTAGGAAATACGCTATATTGCACACCGAGTTTGCTTGCAGTGCAGCTGGGTGACTTGAGACAAGGCGAAAAAGGGTAGGTCACTGGGGGGGGGTACCATATATACATATGCATACATATATATATATATATGTATGTATGTAATTCAAATGAAAAGGGATTCTGGGAGGTTGGGGTGGTACCAAGCACATAGTGATGCAAAGGGGCTTGCAAAAAAGAAACTGAAGCCCGAAACCCGAAACCCGAAGCTACCTCCTCCACCAAGCGGCTCAGCCACCAGGTTGACTTCCGCTGCATGGAAGACATTGCCTACCTTTTAGGGTTTAGGGTTTAGGGTTTGGGGTTTGTGGGTTTCGTGGTTTAGGGGTTTAGGGGGGGTTTAGGGGGGGTTTAGGCTTTAGGGGGGGTTTAGGCTTTAGGGGGGGTTTAGGGGGGGTTTAGGGGTTTAGGGGTTGAGGGGTTCAGGAGTTTAGGGGTTTAGGGTACCTTGCTGCCACGCCCAGGTTCAGAGGAGCTTTCAGGGTTCAGGGTTTTGGGCTGAGGGGATTACTTGAATGCGCATGTATACCTACCCCAAACCCTAAACCCTAAACCCTAAAACCCATGGGTTACTTACAAGTATCTACGCGCACCTGAATTCGGGCGGTGGCCACAGCTGTCCTACTCTTAGAACCCCACGCAGAACCACCTATACCTACCCTAAACCCTAGACCCTAGACCCTAGACCCTAAACCCTAAACCCTAAACCCTAAACCCTAAACCCCCTAAAACCCAATACCTACGACCGATGAGCCAATTGGAGTGCTTTGCAGTGCTTTCCAAGAGGGGGCTTGGGGCCAGCCTCTAGCCGTGGACTCCCGAATCTCCGGAAGCAAAAGCCACAAAATAACCCTAAACCCTAAACCCTAAACCCTAAAACCCTAAACCCTAAGCCCCAAGCCCTAAACTCCAAAACACCAACCCTTCGGGGCTTACCCCCCCTTCGTTGAACTCTAGACGGCCCTCCGGGTCAAGGATGAAAAACCTTTTTGCCTGGGCTTTTCCCTACATCCCAAACAACCCTAACACCCCTAGACCCCTAAAACCCGAGAACTCTAAAACCCCTGAACCCTGAACCCCAACCCCAAACCCTAAACCCTAAACCTCTAAACCCCGAAACCCCCCAAAACCCCTAGACCCCAAACCTTCAACCCTTGCTTTCTGAGTGACAGCCCCGGGCCGCCGGTGCTGCCTTCGGCTTCGAAACGGCGATTTTTTGTTTTTTCGTGTCCTTTCTTGAGATATGTCCCCAAATAGGGGGCTTGGGGTTCAGGTTCAGGGTTCGGGGTTCAGGGTTCAGGATTCAGGGTTCAGGGTTTAGGATTTAGGGTTGCTAGGGTTTATAGGGTTTAGGGTTTTAGGGTTTAGGGTTTAGGGTTTAGGCTTTAGGCTTTAGGCTTTCGGCTTTAGGGTTTAGGGTTTAGGGTTTAGGGTGTATGGTTTAGGGTTCAGGGTTCAGGGTTCAGGGTTCAGGGTTTAGGGTTTAGGGTTTAGGCTTTAGGGTTTAGGGTTTAGGGTTTAGGGTTCAGGGTTCAGGGTTTAGGATTTTAAGTTTAGGGTCTAGGGGTTTATGGTTTAGGGTTTAGGGTTTAGGCTTGGTGAGCCAGGACTCACATGTCTCACTCCGGTAGTGACTAGCGGCCACCGCGCGCGCGTGATGCCAGCCTGTCTGGCCGCCAGCCACCTCTGCTCAGGACCACCCTAACCCTAAACCCTAAACCCTAAACCCTAAACCCTAAACCCTAAACCCTAAACCCTAAACCCTAACTTCTTCCAGGTTCCGTTTTGTTTTGTGCTTGTTTGTGGTTTTTGGGTACTTGGGCGTAGGATTCTGGGGTGTAATCTTTAGAGTTTAGGGTTCAGGAGAAGACTAGGTTTCTTTCTCTAGTCATGTCCTTCTATCTTTCTGTGGGTACTTCGAAGCTTGCACTTGCTGCATGTACTTTGTTCGTTGAATAGTGTGTGTCTTCACTTGTTGCTGTTGTTTGTTTCTGCATTTCGCCCTTTGGTATACGAAATGTTCACTATTGCGTAGGGTCTTTCCTTTGTTCTTGCCCGGCGTTACTTCCTTTCCTTCCTTGCTGTCTTTTGGTACTCTGCTGAGACAAACCCAGGAAAGTGAGAGGAATAAACGCAACACACCAAAAGCCAAAAAGAACAAGAGCTACCCAGACGCCCAACCCCCACGAAAACCCTGAATCCTGAACCCCGTGTATTTAAGTTTTAAATACCCCGAAACCCCTCACAATTCCCAGCTTGAACCCCTAGAACTTACCCCTAAAGCTCTCCATAACTGTTCCCCCGTACTCAGGAGTGTTAGTATAAAGGGAACATCCCAACCCAAACCCTACACCCCCAAACCCTAAACCCTAAACCCGAAACCCTACACCCTAAACCCTAAACCCAAAACCCAAAACCCAAAACCCAAAACCCAAAACCCAAAACCCTAAACCCTAAACCCTAAACCCTAAACCCTAAACCCTACCTACACCCCCAAACCTTAAACCCCATAGAGGCGAGGGCGCCGCGCCATGCGCCCGGCCGCGCCGCTGTCGAAACGGGGTCCCATGCCGAGGCCTCAAGCCCAAAGCCCAAAGCCCTAAGCCCAAAGCCCTAAGCCCTAAACCCTAAACCCTAAACCCTAAACCCTAAACCCTAAGCCCTAAACCCTAAGCCCTAATCCTAAACCCTAAACCCTAAACCCTAAACCCCAAGGCCTCCACGAAGCTCCCAGTCGCCCTCGCAGTTGGCGAAGACCTCGGCTTTTTGAAGGGGCTTCCAAAAAGGATGGCAGAAAGGTTCACTTGGCTGACTCTTGAAGCCTTCCTAAATGTTTAACTTTTAGGCTCCTTATTGTGGTTTCTACAAAAACCCAAAAAGTTCAAGTCCTAAGAGCCAGCCAGAAGACAGCCAAGTTCAATGGCTAGGGGTCTATTTGGGCCTTGAGGTTCAAGGGGGTTAAGGGATTTAAACGGATTTAGGTGATCTAAGTCGAACTGAATAGGGATGTAGAAGGGGCTTTTTGTCAGGGTTAGGCCTTATGTGTGTGAGGGGCTTAGGGTTTAGGGTTTAGGGTTTAGGGTTTAGGGTTTAGGGTTTAGGGTTTAGGGTTTAGGGTGCCTCCACATCCTAAGCCCAAGCCCGGGCTGCCTCTGTTGAACACGCAAGACTAGGATTAGCAACAATAACTTCTAAGGGTAGTTACGTGGTCCCTTAGTATGGGCCCCTCAAAAGGGTACCCCTTACGTACCCCTTATACACCCCAAACAAGCAATGATGGTTTTGCTGAGAAAATCAGCGGCAGCCGCGTTTGCGAGGATAGTAGCGGCAACAGAACATGAGCCGGCTGTGGACTCCAAGATAAGATGTAGGTTTAGGGTTTAGGGTTTAGGGTTTAGGGTTTAGGGTTCCAGGGTCTAGGGTCTAGGGTCTAAAGTTTAGGGCTTAGGGTTTAGGGTTTAGGGCTTAGGGCTTAGGGTTTAGGGCTTAGGGCTTAGGGCTTAGGGCTTAGGGCTTAGGGTTTTGGGTTTAGGGTTTAGGGTTTAGGGCTAGGACGCACGAGGGGCTGGCTAAGGCTTTGGGCATCGGGCTTAGGGGCGCCCCAAACTACTAGTAGAGAATTTCAGGAAGTAGGTACCTTATGTCCCCCCAGAAAAAGGTATGTACATATAGACCCTCGAAGGGATCTACTCCCTCATTCCCAAGCAGTTCAGTAGGAACAGCGAGGCGCCGGCGAAGGTCTTGTGCGGGAAGTTCTCCAGGAAGAAGGCAGCCGCATCGTAGAACCTTGCTCTGTTAGGGTTTAGGGTTTAGGGTTTAGGGTTTAGGGTTTAGGGTTTAGGGTTTAGGGTTTAGGGTTTAGGGTTTAGGGTTTAGGGTTGGCTCTGCACCCAATTATGCCCCCAGTAGGCTTAGGGGTTTGGGGTTTGGTTAGGGGTACCGTACCTTCCTCAAAATGGTCCGGTCTCTGGGAAGAATCTTGAAACCTCAGCCCTGAACCCCAAACCCTCAAACCCTCAACAGCTTAGGGCTCAAGGTTCTTGATTTTAATGTTTAGGACTCTTGGCTTTGGGGCAAGACAGGGTTTATGTTCAGGGCTGTGAGAGGCACCGCCACATGCCCGCCCATGCCAACCTTTAAGCAAGCTTTGGGAAAGACATGAACCAACACAGTCGGTTCCTAAACAATCAACCCTAAACCCACATGCCGCCTGAAAGCCAAATAGGGTGTATATATGTGTATGTATATATATATATATATGCTACCCCCCCCCCCCCCAGCGACCTACCCTTTTTAGGCCTTTTTAGGCCTTTTTAACAAAAAATAACAAACAAGGCCCAAAAGTCGCGTAGTTAATCACCGGGTAATGAAGGACAGTTACTGGGACACCCACCTCACAGACCCCGATAAGCCAGCATTTGGAAGAATCTACATTTTGAATCTGAAGCGGACAATGCTGTTTTTAGATGTTTAGATCAGTGTTTTTCTATGCAAATTGTGCGTTTTAAAGGGCAATTAATGTTTTGTTGAGCAACTAATTTATTTATACAATTGTGTTTGTACGAGGCAAAGTATTAATCAAATAGTGAAACATTTTTCTTGGTTCTATGCGAATTTAGCTACTAGAGTAATTATTAAGCAAAGAGCCCAATTTGACTCGAGTGAATACCATTTAAGGGAGCATACTCAACCAAGATACGAAATAGACACCATTCTCAACCAAAATATGGCAAAGTGTGGGTTTAAAGTGCAAATACTGTATTTATACAATTGTGCTTGTACTAGGCAAAGTATGCTCTCTGAAAAGTCCACTGAAATACCTTATGTTTACATATTCATGAATCGTTTTTATTTTTGAAATAATCATTTTATGCGAATTTAGCTACTAGAGTAATTATTAAGCAAATAGCCCAATTTGACTCAAGTGAATACCATTTAAAGGACCATACTCAACCAAAATACGAAATAAGCACCATATACAACCAACATATGGCAAAGTGTGGTTTAAAGGGCAAATAGTGCTTTGTTGAGCAACTAATGCATTGAAACAGTTGTGTTTATACCAGGCAAAGTATTATTGAAATACTATCTGCAAAGTCAAATGAAACACCTTATGTTTACATATTCATGAAACAATTTTTTTGAAGTATTCATTCTATGCGAATTTAACTACTAGAGGAATTCTTAAGCAAATAGCCCAATTTGACTCAAGTGAATACTATTTAAAGGACCATACTCAACCAAATACGAAATAAACACTTGCGGAAATGGAAACGGTTCTACCTACATAACAATGAGACAAAGATTGCTGAAGTATTCACTAAAGACCACTTGTATACTATGTCTGAAAAGCACAATTTGCATAAGCAAGCTTAAAAATGCACAATAATGGAAATCGGTTCTACTTACATAACGATGAAACAAAGATGTCTGAAGTATTCAATAAAGACCACATATATACTATGCTTGAAAAACGCAACTTGCACAATCAGGCTTAAAAAATGCACAAGAATCCTAGAAAAGTACTTCTAAAGTGAAGGCCATACCACAAGCAAATTCACAAATACGTAAAAACATCCAAAAGCGCAAGCTTTTCAGGAGAATCTCTGGTGAAGTTTGGATTATAGGGTTTTGGGGTATCCCTGGACGAGTAGGAGTCACTTTTTAAGCAAACAATTCTAAGCAATAAATGCTTTTTCTCAAGACAAGTATTGCAAATGCTGCTTCTAGATAATTAATCGCATTTACCAGGCAAATATTATCCATGCGAATTTAGCTACCAGAGCACCAAGTAATGGCTGAATAAGGTCTACTACACTTGAGTGCAACCAAAAGATGCACTAAACACTAGCGGCTCTACTTACATAATAACGAAACAAAAAGTTCTGAAGCACTAGAAAGACCACTTGTATACTATTTTTGAAAAGCACAATTAGCATAAGCACACTTAAAAATGCGTAGTTGTTGCCTCGTGACTGTGAAGGCGAACCAAAAAGCCAAAATACCAAAACCAAAAAACCAAAAATACCAAAACCAAAAAAACCAAAAAAAACAAAACCAAAAAAACCAAAAATACCAAAAAAAAAAAAAAAATCTGGGGCTCTTGGAGAAGCCTCATAGGGATTTCCTGAGAGTCCCGGAAAATTGGGTTTTTTGGGCATTTTTGGTTTTTTTGGTTTTTTTGGTTTTTTTGGTTTTGGTTTTTTTGGTTTTTTTGGTTTTGGTTTTTTGGTTTTTTTGGTTTTGGTATTTTTGGTTTTTCTACTGTCCCGTGTATGCGATTTTAGTTGTATTTTAGTCTACGCCCTAGGAAATACGCTATATTGCACACCGAGTTTGCTTGCAGTGCAGCTGGGTGACTTGAGACAAGGCGAAAAAGGGTAGGTCACTGGGGGGGGGGGGGGTACCATATATATATATATATAGATATGGTTAAGAAGTTAAGAGGGTTCACTTAGCCCAAAGAAGCTTTCAGCTACCTTGCTAGTAAGAAGCCTCGGCAGAAAAATCCTAGGCCTGTGCGCCGAATCCTACATGGCAACAGGGCTTGGGGCTTGAGGTTTCGCCCTAAACCCTAAACCCCAAACCCTAAACCCTAAACCCTAGACCCCTTCGAAGGCGGGGGCCCCCGGAAACCAGCGAACATCGTGGGACCGGGCAATCTCGTGAGTCAGCCGGTTGTCGCTCTTTGCTGCTCATGTTCAGGCCAACGTGTTCCTGGTTACACTAAACCCCTAAACCCTACACCCGAAAGCCACAGACTCCCATCGGGGGGTGGGGGGGAAGAAAAGACTTAGTCTTGATGAGGGTCAACACTGGGGTTCAGGGTACTGTTTGTCAAAACTGAAACACTTGGACAAAACAACGGCGGAAGTCCTCCTGAGTCCTATGCTTGCAACACCCAGAGTCCTGAGTCGGGAAATCAGGAGTTGGGTACCTCAAAACCCTAAACCCTAAACCCTAAACCCTAAACCCTAAACCCTAAACCCAATCTCTGCTAAGAACCAGTGAATCATGGAAGCTTGCCAGGCCACTGGGACTCCTGCGGGCGTCTACTTTGATTCATCAAAGGAGAGGGCTCTGGTCTGTCGGGCTTTGAGGTTTTGAGGCTTCAAGCAGAGTAACTAGAGCTAAAACCCCAAGTAAAGTTAGGCCAGGGGAGGCAAACACACGCGCCACTCGGCTCTCAAGAGAATTCTTCGGCTTGGCTTGGGTGTTGAGGAGCATGCAGCCCCCAATTTGCAACAGCAACCATTTGCTTCGCTGCTCTTTGTACCCTGCCGAGCGCTTCTGGGTTTCAAGGTCTTGCTTGCGAAGCAAAGGGACACATTCAACAGCATGACTTGCTTGGCTTGGTTTGGGCTAGGCTGCTGGTTCTAGGCGGAAGCAGTGCGGACGTGGAGCAGGCCGAAAGGCTCTGACCTACAGAACTTGGCCTCGAACCTGCCCCCAACTCCCAACCCTAGGGTTAAGGCTCCAGGTCTAGGTTCAAAGGTGCCGGGCAACTGAGGCTGCCTTCAACCCCCTCTGCGGTTGGGTTCAAGCTTATGCCAGCGCCGGAATCCACAAAGCCTTAGACGCCCAGCCCAATGCCGATCCTAAACTCCTCCTAAACCCGTAACAGCAATCTAAACCCCCTAAACCCTCAACCCTCATAAACCCTAAACCCTAAACCATAAAACCTCAAAACTTCGCACCTCTCTCTCCTACGGGCCCACCACCCCCAGGGTCCTCCTCACTGGCCTGCAGGGGACTCAAGCTCTCCACCCAGTACCCCGCGGCCAAGTTGCCTTGGGTGCAGGAAGGGTTTGGGGTCTCGCGTTTCGGGTTTCGGGTTTCGGGTTTTGGGGTTTAGGGCTTAGGGCTTAGGGTTTAGGGGTTTAGATTGTTGAACCTCCAACCCTCAACCCCCCCATGTTTTTTCAGCCGCAAGGCTTCAACCCTCCTACAATGAAACCTGAACCTTGGGATGTTCTCCCTCATACTAACCGTCCTTAAGGGGGATTATCGTACCCCCTGCTATAGTCTGTTAGTAATAGGGGGGGAACCAACCTAGCCTGGTGGCCTTGCATGTCCGTGAAAGGCTACAGGTCTAGACTTCAAGGCGTAGGCCTTCGGCTTACTGCATCTCAAAGAATGACAGAAACAGCACGAGTCTGACGTCCAAGTTGTTTTGGCTGACCCACATGGGCTTGCTGGTGGGGAGTTGGCAAGTCCGAATGTCGCTGTGGTTCAGGGTTTGGTCCGAGGCTTTGGGGGTTTGAGCCTACTCTCAACTGGAGAGGACTGAAACCTTAACCCTGAGCTAAGCCTGAGGGGATGCTTCACAGCCACGGCACCCGCCGACTGCCCACCTGGCGTGCATGGCTCAGGTTGCGGGCTTTTATGGTATAAACCCTGAACCCTAAACCCTATTACTATAATAAAGTCGAGGGAGGGCCCAAGCTGAGGGGCTCCACAGGACCACAGGACCACGGGATCGTGAGCCACACCTTTCAAAAGAAGAAAGGTCCGAAGACACACCCGACAAAAAAACACTGGGCCCCACAAAAACTGTAGAGTTGGGATGCTCCCCCTTTTCCTGACAGTCCTGGATAAGGGATGAGAATAAGGGGGGGGTGCGATAATCCCTATCAAGGACTGTTAGTATAAGGGGGAACATCCCAACTGTAGACCCTAAGCCCTTGACTCTAAAGAGCTTCGGGTGACTCCCGGCTGGCGCCTGCAGTGCTGTAGGCAACTAAGACGTAGGTTGCGAAGTCCATCTCCTGAACTTGCAGGCCAAACACGTACTTGAAGGTTCACGGTACTTATTAAACAGCTATAACTGTACTGTACTTGTAATCCACATTATAACCATGCTAGGGCACTTAAGGGGCTTACAAGTGGGTTGTAAGTACGGTTTAATTGGTGAGTACGCACCCTGAACCTCCAAGTAGAGCCCTAAGCCCAAAAACTGAAAATCCTCGATGCCCGCCAGCACAGGCAGAAGGCACCCGCAAGTTGTGCGTCGGGCTTCTTGGGTCTTGTACGGTAACCCAAAAACCCTAAAAACCCTAGGAAATGATCTCCAGGGTTCAGGGTTTTGGAGTAAGGTTTGGAGCGTTAAGGACCTTGGGGTTTGGAAGAACTGGGGAGTGGATTGCCAACCACGCCTGGAGCCCCTCCCCAGCGACAGCTCCCCAAGAATCCTACACTGTAAACCCTGGGCGGGAAGTCTTCACGAAGGAACTGGGTCGGATGTAGGGCCCCTGTGAAAACATGGGCTGTAGGTGTTGTATAGGGCTACATAGCGACGAAGGCTCGGAAACGCGCACATCAGTTTTCTAAACCCGAAACCCTAAACCCCAAACCCTGAACCCCAAGCCCCAAACCCTAAACCCTAAACCTTAAACCCTCAAGGGCTCTTGAGTTCTGTCGAGCCCAGGCGCCCAGAGGGCGCGGAAGTGCGGGTGCTCGGCGACGCTGCGCAGCGTCGGGAAGGCCTCGTCGGGCGGCCAGAGCCTCGCTCCAGGCAGGTCTCTCGCTCAAGGCAGGTCTCGGAGGGTTTGAAGGGCCTGAGGTTGAGGGTTTAGGGTTTAGGGTTTAGAGTTTAGAGTTTAGGTTTTAGGGTTTAGGGTTTAGGGTTTAGGGTGTAGGGTTTAGGGTTTAGGGTGTAGGGTTTAGGGTTTAGCAGGCCTTCGGCCTGAGGGCGCGTAAAGGAAGCTATGCGTGCCGTGAGCTGTGCTCATTCGTGGCATCCCATGAGAAGCGTGTTGTGTTTGGAGTCTCCAAAGGGCACCCGAAATCTCGAAGGGCCACGAGAACCCTGAACCCTGAACCCTGAACCCTAAACCCTAAACCCTAAACCCTAAACCCTAAACCCTAAACCCTAAACCCTAAACCCTAAACCCTAAACCCTAAACCCTAAACCCTAAACCCTAAACCCTAAACCCTAAGCCACAACCGCTAAACCCTAAACCCTAAACCCTAAACCCTAAACCCTAAACCCTAAACCCGAAACCACAACCGCTAAACCCTAAACCCTATAGGAAGCCAAAGACCTGCTGCGAACGTTGTGGGGGAGCTGATCTCTTCTCATCCTACAGACCTTGTAACCCTGAAACCCTACCTGTTTAGGGTTTAGGGTTTAGGGTTTGGGGTTTAGGGTTTAGGGCTTAGGGTTTAGGGTTTAGGGTTTAGGGTTGGGGCTATAAGTACCCTGAACCTCCCAATACTGAAGGCAAAGAGCGAGTTGATCGCGTAGTTCCAACTGGGGCGGAAGAGAGCCACCTACCATCGACCACACGCGCAGGATGGGGAGCTTCACGGGAGTCGGGGCTCATTGCACCCGAAACCATACACGAGACCCAGGAATAACCTAGGAATATATAAAGGTGCTCTTTGTGGTTGAAAGGGGCTAAAGGGGCGTATAAGGGAACCGGGAACAGGGGCCTACTCTGCCTAAACCCTGCTGCAAAATCAGCTTGCCCCTTCTCCATTGGGAGAGAGTTGCTCAGTTCATCTTGTCACCGACCCTTCTCTTGCATGGCAAGATGCCTACGCAACAAACTCTTCTATGCCTACATGTTTTGTTGTTGTTCTTGGCCGGTTATTAAACTAGCTTAAACACTCATGTTTATAAACGATTTAGCTCTCAATCACCCAATCTTGATGCTCATATCTGAAGTTTGATGCACCATTTTTGAATTGATATATTCTCTTCACAACCTACATTTTGCATATTTTGGGTTTGGGCGCGCAAGTTGCACCTAGATTCGGAGTTTTGAGGTGTGCTTACGATTTTACATATAGACAAATCATTTGCCATCTGCCTCTACAATCCTGGAGTGAAGGAACCAGCTTGAAAACAAGCACCAAACAGACGGCACACAAGGGGTCCTCCGAGTTGAAGCACGAAGCGCAGCCGACGAGGATTTTGGAATGGATTCAGATGGGTGGTTATCAAAAGTTATGATCCCTTTGGGGTGACCTAAATATTGGGTGCCGCATTATGATAGGGATCCGAAAAGAGACCATAATTTTGACAACCACCCATATGGGTTTTTGAAGCAATGTTTGGTGGCACGATGTCCTTTAAGGCAGGGGGGCTCAGCTTCCCCATGTATCGAAGAGAATGCTTGCATGGTGAGTTTGGAAAGGATTCATGCGGGTGTTGGACCACGGACCAGAGGACCAGCACCAAGGGGACCACAAGACCAAAGCCGCTGTCCTTGGTGAGGCCGGGAGGACCAGAAGTGGTGTTTCCGAGCGACAGCCAAAAAACAAATAGCAAAAGGGCGAGCCTGGGCCAGCCCCTTGAAGAAAAATGGCCCTTTTGACCCTCAACCCTAAACCCTAAACCCTAAACCCTAAACCCCCACATTCTTGTCGCGGGGTCCCTGGCCCTGGGTAAAGCCTTGATCACAGCGCTGCCCAGCGAGCGCAGGGCCCGCGCACCGTCCAGAAGCACAGGCTGGCTGGCGTCTCCTTGGACTCGGGGCTTGAGTGTTTGCAAACCCTAAACCCTAAACCCTAAACCCTAAACCCTAAACCTGGAGCCTGAAGGGGTTCAAGGATTGTAGGATTATTGAATTTCGGGCAATTGAATTCCGCTCCCAAGCTTTAGGCTTGCGTGGCCCGGGGCCAAATTATTTCAACTCTGAACCCTAAATCCTAGCCTCCCCAACGCCTTAAACCCCAAACTCCCTGATTGGGGGAGGGGTCGGGGGGGGGGGGGGGGGGGGGGGGGGGGTTGCAGGTTTAGGGCTTAGGAATGTTTGAGAGCAAGGCCTTTCTTACGTTCACGTTTCCGCGTTTCAGGGTCGAGGGTGTCTCAATGATGCGAGGTGAGATGACGGTAGAAGCACCCAGGCGCACTCCCCGAAATGGAAGGCCCCACCCCGCTAGCTGCGGGTTTAGGGTTTAGGGTTTGGGGGGATAGGGTTTAGGGTTTAGGGTTTAGGGTTTCGGGTTTCGGGTTTCGGGTTTAGGGTTTAGGGTTTAGGGTTTAGGTTTTAGGGTTTAGGGTTTAGGGTTTAGGGAGGCAGCAGCAAAACTCTCAGGATGCAGGTCGTGGTTTTGGGTCTGACCCGAGGTTTCTAGAATCCATGGCGATAAGGGCCTAACTAGAAACCATGGTGTTAGACTGTTAAGGGCCTAGAACAACGAACAGCAGTGCAAAACCTCTGCAAGGCTGGCTAAACCCTAAACCCTAAACCCTAAACCCTAAACCCTTGTGGCTTCTGGACTGGCGGGCTCCTCAGGTCGGTTGCAAGTAGTTCTTGGGGTTTAGGGCTTAGGGTTTCAGGTCTGGGGGGTCGGGTCTATAGGGTCTAAGGTTTAGGGTTTAGGGTGTAGGGTTTAGGTTACAGGGTTTAGGGTTAAGGGTTTAGGGTTTAGGGTTTAGGGTTTAGGGTTAAGGGTTTAGGGTTTAGGGTTTAGGGTTTAGGGTTTAGGGTTTAGGGTTTAGGGTTTAGGGTTTAGGGTTTAGGGTTTAGGGTTTAGGGTTTAGGGTTTAGGGTTTATGGGTTTAGGGTTTAGGGTTTAGGGTTTAGGGTTTAGGGTTTAGGGTTTAGGGTTTAGGGTTTAGGGTTTAGGGTTTAGGGTTTAGGGTTTAGGGATTTGGGTTCAAAGGCAGCCCGCGAGCTGCCGTAGCAGGGCGCCCAATGCACGGCGCCGAGGCGCTGGGCACAGCCTGGGGCTGATCATGGACCCTTGTGGGCGTTTAGGGGTCTAGGGGTTTTTTCAGGGTTTCTGAGGTTTAGGGTTTAGGGTTTAGGGTTTAGGGTTTAGGGTTTAGGGTTTAGGGTTTAGGGTTTAGGGTTTAGGGTTTAGGGTTTAGAGTTTAGGGATTCGAGTTTAGGGACTAGGGTTTAGGGCTCAGGGCTTAGGGTTCAGGGTTCAGGGTTTAGGGTTTAGGGTTTAGGGTTTAGGGTTTAGGGTTTAGGGTTTGGGGTTTAGGGCTTGGGGTTTAGGGCTTATGGAGAAGGGTGCATTCCTGGGTAGGTATAGTCTACCGCTACTGGCACAGTGAAGCCCAGTTCACCAGACGCCTTGTTTTTGGGTTCCCCGCCAAATAGGGGATCTCATGTAAACAACTGGCCGTTGGGGGTTTAGGGTCGAGGTTGGCCAGCGTGTAACAAAAAAGGGGTACCCTTCTTGGTTAAGGCTTACGACATATTGCAAGGGAACTCGGAGAAAAAGGAAAGTAAGGATATTGGTGTTGCTGGGCCCCCCTCCCCAGATATAACCCAGGCGCCGCTCGCGGAGCAGTCGAACTCCTCGGCCTCCCCCAAGCGGTTTTTCAGGTTTAGGGCTTAGGGCTTCGGATTTTGCGATAGTAGGTTTAAGGATGTTGAGGGTATAGGCTGTTGTTCAGATTGTGGGGCCGAGCAACTTGGTAGAAGAGCGTGTGCATTTCGAGTCCGGCCCTTGCCACCGTTCGCACACGTAAAGATCCCTAAACCATAAACCCTAAGCCAGTACCCTAAACCCTAAACCCCAAACCCTGAGTGGAGTGACTGCACAGGCAGGCCTCTGATTTGCCTGCGTGCGAGCGAGACGACGATGACCCAAACAACCATCTCACACGCTAAGAAAAGTGAGGGTTCAATGTTAGAGGTTTAGGGTTTAGGGTTTAGGGTTTAGGGTTTAGGGTTTAGGGTTTAGGGTTTAGGGTTTAGAGTTTAGGGTTTAGGGTTTAGGGTTTAGGGTTCAGGGTTTAGGGTTTAGGGTTTAGGGCTTGGCGTTTAAGGGTGGGGGGGGAAGACCCCACAGCTTTCTCGGGTAGCAGACGGCATGCATCGGGTGAGCTCCCAGGGCCAGGTGTTTGATTGACCCGTTTACACCCACAAAGGGTCTAGGGTTTCGGTTTAGGGGTTACTTGCAGGTTCAGCGTGCTTATTAACCAACTATAGCTGGACTTACAGCCCACATGCCCCTTAAGTGCCCTAGTTTGGTTAACACGGCAGCCCCCTTACTTCCCAGGACGGCACCTTTTTCATGCAATACCCTGCACTGTTCTTGCCCCCAGGCCTCCTGAACAAAACGCTCAAGAGCGCGTGTGCTTACGTGCAGCTCCGAAACATTCCCCAAATATGGCCTTAAGAAACCCAAAGCAAACCCTTAGTAAGCCTTAATAGGAGACTATGCCCCTCTTCCGAACACCCTCCTCATTCCTTCTGAATGCAGCTCCGGACGTGTTTTGCCAAGCAAGGCAAGTCGCGTTGGTTCGCGGCGCGGGGGGAAAAATGAGCTTCGAGACATCAAGAAAGGTTGACTTCATCAACCGGGAGCATCTGAGCTACAAATTTAGGGTTTGGGGTTTAGGGTTTAGGGTTTAGGGTTTAGGGTTTAGGGTTTAGGGCTTAGGGTTTAGTGGGCTTCATGTTCAGGCTTATAAGCTTAAACAGTTGCAGCTTCGGATGTGCAGCTTACGCCTTGGCATCCTCCTTGGCCATGTGCTTGATGAGGTCCACGACGCGGCAGGAGTAGCCCCACTCGTTGTCGTACCTTACACGTGGGCCACATAAAAACTCAAATTTCAGGAAAAAGGGGGCTATATGGGGTTATACAAGGATTAAGGCTCACAGACCTTCTCCACACTTCAGACTGATTCAGAAGTAACCCGAGGTACCAGCAAACCACCTTGACGAAGGTGGGGTCCAGCATGATGCCAGCCTTGGAGTCGAAAGTGCAAGAGATCGGGTTGGTCTCGAAGTCCGTGGACACCAGGGCCTCGTCGGTGTAGCCCAGGTAGCCCTTCATGTCGCCCTCGGAACGCTTCTTCATCTCGGCGCAGATCTCCTCGTAGGTGGTCTCCTTCTCCAGCTCGCACGTGAGGTCCACCACGGACACGTCGATGGTCGGCACGCGCAAAGCCATGCCGGTAAGCTTGCCCTTCACAGCCGGAAGGACCTTTGCCACTGCCTTCGCGGCACCAGTGGAGCTGGGAATGATGTTGCCCGGGCCGGCACGTCCCCCACGCCAGTCCTTCTTGGAGGTGCCATCCACGGTGGGCTGCGAGGCGGTCATGGCGTGGCAGGTGGTCATGAGGCCGCGCTTGATGCCGAACTTCTCTTGCAGGACGCGGACTGCTGGGGCCAGGCCGTTGGTGGTGCAGGAAGCACAGGACACGCACTCCATGGATGGATCATAGGTGTCCTCGTTCACGCCCATGACGATGGTGTGCGAGTCGTCCTTGGCGGGGGCGGAGAAGATCACCTTCTTGGCACCGGCCTTCAAGTGGGGCTGCACCTTGTCGGTGGTCAGGAACACGCCCGTGGACTCGCACACGTACTCTGCACCATGCTCCTTGAAGGGAATCTCTGCAGGGTCACGGGTGTGCGACAGTGCCACCGTCTGCCCGTCAATGACCAGGGAGTCGCCATCGACCTCGACAGTTCCATCATACTTGCCATGAATCGTATCGTACTTCATCATGTAGGCCAAGTAGTCTGCGTCGTAGCTCGCATTAATCAACTTCAAGTCGGTCTCCGGATCCTTCATGGCGATGCGGGCCACCTGGCGACCGATGCGGCCGAAGCCGTTGATGCCCACGCCCACAGCCTGGAGGGAGGTGCGTCCCTTGCTGGCGCGCTTGCCAGCCACTCCTGCGGCGGCCAGGCCAGCCACGGCACCGAGGCCGGCCATGGCGCCAACGCCGGCCGCCTGAGAAGAGCCATAGCCTGCTGCGCGGAGGTTGGTCCTCTGCGTCTGGGGCTCACTGCGCTGGACCTGGCCCGCAGGCGCCACGAAGGCACCGCTCAAGGCACCCGCTGCCGCGAAGGCACCGACGCCGGCCATGGCAACGTTGCTGGCGGTGGAAGGCATGGTGGCAATGACCAGATGAGGGCTGTGATACTTTGCTGGCACGCGGCTGCTAGGGAAGGCACGCTTTAAGTTGAGGAGTTTAGGACTCGTTTTGGGATTCGTGCCTGAAGCTGCTTCAAATCTAGGTGGAGCATTCGTTCAGTGTTGGGGGCAAGAGGACTCAAGGGATGTTGAAAACAACTGAGGCCATCAGGAAAAAACCGTTTTTGCAGCATGTCCTCTCCAGTTGCTCTCGGCCAGCGCGCATGATGGCGCTCGCTAGAATCTCCGAAATAGTTTTTAGTATAATGCGCCGCTTCACTCGGCGAGGCGGAAAATGAGCTGGAGGGTTCAAGAGGCGGTTGAAAGTATCAACCGTGCAGAGATCATGAGTCATTCATGGATCTCATCTTCTGAAAAGCAGCCGCACGAGCTCTGGCAGCTTACGCCTTGGCATCCTCCTTGGCCATGTGCTTGATGAGGTCCACGACGCGGCAGGAGTAGCCCCACTCGTTGTCGTACCTTACACGTGGGCCACATAAAAACTCAAATTTCAGGAAAAAGGGTGCTATATGGGGTTATACAAGGATTAAGGCTCACAGACCTTCTCCAAACTTCAGACTGATTCAGAAGTAACTCGAGGTACCAGCAAACCACCTTGACGAAGGTGGGGTCCAGCATGATGCCAGCCTTGGAGTCGAAAGTGCAAGAGATCGGGTTGGTCTCGAAGTCCGTGGACACCAGGGCCTCGTCGGTGTAGCCCAGGTAGCCCTTCATGTCGCCCTCGGAACGCTTCTTCATCTCTGCGCAGATCTCCTCGTAAGTGGTCTCCTTCTCCAGCTCACACGTGAGGTCCACCACGGACACGTCGATGGTCGGCACGCGCAAGGCCATGCCGGTAAGCTTGCCCTTCACAGCCGGAAGGACCTTCGCCACTGCCTTCGCTGCACCAGTGGAGCTGGGAATGATGTTGCCCGGGCCGGCACGTCCCCCACGCCAGTCCTTCTTGGAGGTGCCATCCACGGTGGGCTGCGAGGCGGTCATGGCGTGGCAGGTGGTCATGAGGCCGCGCTTGATGCCGAACTTCTCTTGCAGGACGCGGACTGCTGGGGCCAGGCCGTTGGTGGTGCAGGAGGCACAGGACACGCACTCCATGGATGGATCATAGGTGTCCTCGTTCACGCCCATGACGATGGTGTGGGAGTCGTCCTTGGCGGGGGCGGAGAAGATCACCTTCTTGGCACCGGCCTTCAAGTGGGGCTGCACCTTGTCGGTGGTCAGGAACACGCCCGTGGACTCGCACACGTACTCTGCACCATGCTCCTTGAAGGGAATCTCTGCAGGGTCACGGGTGTGCGACAGTGCCACCGTCTGCCCGTCAATGACCAGGGAGTCGCCATCGACCTCGACAGTTCCATCATACTTGCCATGAATCGTATCGTACTTCATCATGTAGGCCAAGTAGTCTGCGTCGTAGCTCGCATTAATCAACTTCAAGTCGGTCTCCGGATCCTTCATGGCGATGCGGGCCACCTGGCGACCGATGCGGCCGAAGCCGTTGATGCCCACGCCCACGGCCTGGAGGGAGGTGCGTCCCTTGCTGGCGCGCTTGCCAGCCACTCCTGCGGCGGCCAGGCCAGCCACGGCACCGAGGCCGGCCATGGCGCCAACGCCGGCAACCTGAGAAGAGCCATAGCCTGCTGCGCGGAGGTTGGTCCTCTGCGTCTGGGGCTCACTGCGCTGGACCTGGCCCGCAGGCGCCACGAAGGCACCGCTCAAGGCACCCGCTGCCGCGAAGGCACCGACGCCGGCCATGGCAACGTTGGTGGCGGTGGAAGGCATGGTGGCAAGGACCAGATGAGGGCTGCAATACTTTGCTGGCACGCGGCTGCTAGGGAAGGCGGGCTTTAAGTTCAAACAGCACTGGGTGTTAGGATTCGTGCCCGAATGTGGTTATCATTTTGGTTATAAGTACAGTTATAATTGCTTAATAAGTAATAAGTACCATGAACCTTCAAGTAGGGGTTTAGGGATTAAGGCAAAGACACAGCAGCCCCCTTACCTCCGAGGACGGCACCTTCTTCATGCAATACTCTGCACTGTTCTTGCCCCCAGGCCTCCTGAAAAATTCACTCAAGAGAGCGTGTGCTTACGTGCAGCTCCCAAACATTCCCAAATATGGCCTTAAGAAACCCAAAGCAAGCCCTTAGTAAGCCTTAATAGGGGACTGGACGTGTTTTGCCAAGCAAGGCAAGTCGCGTTGGTTGGCGGCGCGGGGGGAAAAATGAGCTTCGAGACGTCAAGAAAGGTTGATTTCATCAACCGGGAGCATCTGTACTACAATTTAGGGTTTAGGGTTTAGGGTTTAGGGTTCAGGGCTCAGGGTTTAGGGTTTAGGGTTTAGTGGGCTTCAGGTTCAGGTTTATAAGCTTAAACAGTTGCAGCTTCGGATGGGCAGCTTACGCCTTGGCATCCTCCTTGGCCATGTGCTTGATGAGGTCCACGACGCGGCAGGAGTAGCCCCACTCGTTGTCGTACCTTACACGTGGGCCACATAAAAATTCAAATTTCAGGAAAAAGGGGGCTATAAGGGGTTATACAAGGATTAAGGCTCACAGACCTTCTGCAAACTTCAGACTGATTCAGAAGTAACCCGAGGTACCAGCAAACCACCTTGACGAAGGTGGGGTCCAGCATGATGCCAGCCTTGGAGTCGAAAGTGCAAGAGATCGGGTTGGTCTCGAAGTCCGTGGACACCAGGGCCTCGTCGGTGTAGCCCAGGTAGCCCTTCATGTCGCCCTCGGAACGCTTCTTCATCTCTGCGCAGATCTCCTCGTAAGTGGTCTCCTTCTCCAGCTCACACGTGAGGTCCACCACGGACACGTCGATGGTCGGCACGCGCAAGGCCATGCCGGTAAGCTTGCCCTTCACAGCCGGAAGGACCTTCGCCACTGCCTTCGCGGCACCAGTGGAGCTGGGAATGATGTTGCCCGGGCCGGCACGTCCGCCACGCCAGTCCTTCTTGGAGGTGCCATCCACGGTGGGCTGCGAGGCGGTCATGGCGTGGCAGGTGGTCATGAGGCCGCGCTTGATGCCGAACTTCTCTTGCAGGACGCGGACTGCTGGGGCCAGGCCGTTGGTGGTGCAGGAGGCACAGGACACGCACTCCATGGATGGATCATAGGTGTCCTCGTTCACGCCCATGACGATGGTGTGGGAGTCGTCCTTGGCGGGAGCGGAGAAGATCACCTTCTTGGCACCGGCCTTCAAGTGAGGCTGCACCTTGTCGGTGGTCAGGAACACGCCTGTGGACTCGCACACGTACTCTGCACCATGCTCCTTGAAGGGAATCTCTGCAGGGTCACGGGTGTGGGACAGTGCCACCGTCTGCCCGTCAATGACCAGGGAGTCGCCATCGACCTCGACAGTTCCGTCATACTTGCCATGAATCGTATCGTACTTCATCATGTAGGCCAAGTAGTCTGCGTCGTAGCTCGCATTAATCAACTTCAAGTCGGTCTCCGGATCCTTCATGGCGATGCGGGCCACCTGGCGACCGATGCGGCCGAAGCCGTTGATGCCCACGCCCACGGCCTGGAGGGAGGTGCGTCCCTTGCTGGCGCGCTTGCCAGCCACTCCTGCGGCGGCCAGGCCAGCCACGGCACCGAGGCCGGCCATGGCGCCAACGCCGGCAGCCTGAGAAGAGCCATAGCCTGCTGCGCGGAGGTTGGTCCTCTGCGTCTGGGGCTCACTGCGCTGGACCTGGCCCGCAGGCGCCACGAAGGCACCGCTCAAGGCACCCGCTGCCGCGAAGGCACCGACGCCGGCCATGGCAACGTTGGTGGCGGTGGAAGGCATGGTGGCAAGGACCAGATGAGGGCTGTGATACTTTGCTGGCACGCGGCTGCTAGGGAAGGCACGCTTTAAGTTGAGGAGTTTAGGACTCGTTTTCGGATTCGTGCCTGAAGCTGCTTCAAATCTAGGTGTCCCGTCTTCGGGGGGGGGGCACCGGTGGAGCTGGGAATGATGTTGCCCGGGCCGGCACGTCCGCCACGCCAGTCCTTCTTGGAGGTGCCATCCACGGTGGGCTGCGAGGCGGTCATGGCGTGGCAGGTTGTCATGAGGCCGCGCTTGATGCCGAACTTCTCTTGCAGGACGCGGACTGCCGGGGCCAGGCCGTTGGTGGTGCAGGAGGCACAGGACACGCACTCCATGGACGGATCATAGGTGTCCTCGTTCACGCCCATGACGATGGTGTGGGAGTCGTCCTTGGCAGGAGCGGAGAAGATCACCTTCTTGGCACCGGCCTTCAAGTGGGGCTGCACCTTGTCGGTGGTCAGGAACACTCCCGTGGACTCGCACACGTACTCTGCACCATGCTCTTTGAAGGGAATCTCTGCAGGGTCACGGGTGTGGGACAGTGCCACCGTCTGGCCGTCAATGACCAGGGAGTCGCCATCGACCTCGACAGTTCCATCATACTTGCCATGAATCGTATCGTACTTCATCATGTAGGCCAAGTAGTCTGCGTCATAGCTTGCATTAATCAACTTCAAGTCGGTCTCCGGATCCTTCATGGCGATGCGGGCCACCTGGCGGCCGATGCGGCCGAAGCCGTTGATGCCCACGCCCACGGCCTGGAGGGAGGTGCGTCCCTTGCTGGCGCGCTTGCCAGCCACTCCTGCGGCGGCCAGGCCAGCCACGGCACCGAGGCCGGCCATGGCGCCGACACCGGCAGCCTGAGAAGAGCCATAGCCTGCCGCGCGGAGGTTGGTCCTCTGCGTCTGGGGCTCACTGCGCTGGACCTGGCCCGCAGGCGCCACGAAGGCACCGCTCAAGGCACCCGCTGCCGCGAAGGCACCGACGCCGGCCATGGCAACGTTGGTGGCGGAAGGCATGGTGGCAAGGACCAGATGAGGGCTGTGATACTTTGCTGGCACGCGGCTGCTAGGGAAGGCACGCTTCAAGTTGAGGAAATTTGGAATTCGTGCCTGAAGCTGCTTCTAATCTAGGTGGCCCGTCTTGGGGGGGGAGCATTCGTTCAGTGTTGGGGGCAAGAGGACTCACGGGATGTTGAAAACAACTGAGACCTTGCCCCTGGGCAATCAGGAAAAAACACGTTTTGCAGCATGTCCTCTCCAGTTGCTCTCGGCCAGCGCACATGATGGCGCTCGCTAGAATCTCCGAAATAGTTTTTAGTATAATGCGCCGCTTCACTCGGCGAGGCGGAAAATGAGCTGGAGGGTTCAAGAGGCGGTTGTAAATATCAACCGTGCAGAGATCATGAGTCATTCATGGATCTCATCTTCTTAAAAGCAGCCGCACGAGCTCTGGCAGCTTACGCCTTGGCATCCTCCTTGGCCATGTGCTTGATGAGGTCCACGACGCGGCAGGAGTAGCCCCACTCGTTGTCGTACCTTACACGTGGGCCTCAAAAAAAAAAACTCAAACTTAAAAAAGGGGCTATATGGCATGTACTATATGGGGTTATACAAGGATTATGGCCCACAGAAACTTCAGACTGATTCAGAAGTAACCCCAGGTACCAGCAAACCACCTTGACGAAGGTGGGGTCCAGCATGATGCCAGCCTTGGAGTCGAAAGTGCAAGAGATCGGGTTGGTCTCGAAGTCCGTGGACACCAGGGCCTCGTCGGTGTAGCCCAGGTAGCCCTTCATGTCGCCCTCGGAACGCTTCTTCATCTCTGCGCAGATCTCCTCGTAGGTGGTCTCCTTCTCCAGCTCACACGTGAGGTCCACCACGGACACGTCGATGGTCGGCACGCGCAAGGCCATGCCGGTAAGCTTGCCCTTCACAGCCGGAAGGACCTTCGCCACTGCCTTCGCTGCACCAGTGGAGCTGGGAATGATGTTGCCCGGGCCGGCACGTCCCCCACGCCAGTCCTTCTTGGAGGTGCCATCCACGGTGGGCTGCGAGGCGGTCATGGCGTGGCAGGTGGTCATGAGGCCGCGCTTGATGCCGAACTTCTCTTGCAGGACGCGGACTGCTGGGGCCAGGCCGTTGGTGGTGCAGGAGGCACAGGACACGCACTCCATGGATGGATCATAGGTGTCCTCGTTCACGCCCATGACGATGGTGTGGGAGTCGTCCTTGGCGGGGGCGGAGAAGATCACCTTCTTGGCACCGGCCTTCAAGTGGGGCTGCACCTTGTCGGTGGTCAGGAACACGCCCGTGGACTCGCACACGTACTCTGCACCATGCTCCTTGAAGGGAATCTCTGCAGGGTCACGGGTGTGCGACAGTGCCACCGTCTGCCCGTCAATGACCAGGGAGTCGCCATCGACCTCGACAGTTCCATCATACTTGCCATGAATCGTATCGTACTTCATCATGTAGGCCAAGTAGTCTGCGTCGTAGCTCGCATTAATCAACTTCAAGTCGGTCTCCGGATCCTTCATGGCGATGCGGGCCACCTGGCGACCGATGCGGCCGAAGCCGTTGATGCCCACGCCCACGGCCTGGAGGGAGGTGCGTCCCTTGCTGGCGCGCTTGCCAGCCACTCCTGCGGCGGCCAGGCCAGCCACGGCACCGAGGCCGGCCATGGCGCCAACGCCGGCAACCTGAGAAGAGCCATAGCCTGCTGCGCGGAGGTTGGTCCTCTGCGTCTGGGGCTCACTGCGCTGGACCTGGCCCGCAGGCGCCACGAAGGCACCGCTCAAGGCACCCGCTGCCGCGAAGGCACCGACGCCGGCCATGGCAACGTTGGTGGCGGTGGAAGGCATGGTGGCAAGGACCAGATGAGGGCTGCAATACTTTGCTGGCACGCGGCTGCTAGGGAAGGCCTTCACAGCCGGAAGGACCTTCGCCACTGCCTTCGCTGCACCAGTGGAGCTGGGAATGATGTTGCCCGGACCGGCACGTCCGCCACGCCAGTCCTTCTTGGAGGTGCCATCCACGGTGGGCTGCGAGGCGGTCATGGCGTGGCAGGTGGTCATGAGGCCGCGCTTGATGCCGAACTTCTCTTGCAGGACGCGGACTGCTGGGGCCAGGCCGTTGGTGGTGCAGGAGGCACAGGACACGCACTCCATGGATGGATCATAGGTGTCCTCGTTCACGCCCATGACGATGGTGTGGGAGTCGTCCTTGGCGGGAGCGGAGAAGATCACCTTCTTGGCACCGGCCTTCAAGTGAGGCTGCACCTTGTCGGTGGTCAGGAACACGCCCGTGGACTCGCACACGTACTCTGCACCATGCTCCTTGAAGGGAATCTCTGCAGGGTCACGGGTGTGGGACAGTGCCACCGTCTGCCCGTCAATGACCAGGGAGTCGCCATCGACCTCGACAGTTCCATCATACTTGCCATGAATCGTATCGTACTTCATCATGTAGGCCAAGTAGTCTGCGTCGTAGCTCGCATTAATCAACTTCAAGTCGGTCTCCGGATCCTTCATGGCGATGCGGGCCACCTGGCGACCGATGCGGCCGAAGCCGTTGATGCCGACGCCCACGGCCTGGAGGGAGGTGCGTCCCTTGCTGGCGCGCTTGCCAGCCACTCCTGCGGCGGCCAGGCCAGCCACGGCACCGAGGCCGGCCATGGCGCCAACGCCGGCAGCCTGAGAAGAGCCATAGCCTGCTGCGCGGAGGTTGGTCCTCTGCGTCTGGGGCTCACTGCGCTGGACCTGGCCCGCAGGCGCCACGAAGGCACCGCTCAAGGCACCCGCTGCCGCGAAGGCACCGACGCCGGCCATGGCAACGTTGGTGGCGGAAGGCATGGTGGCAAGGACCAGATGAGGGCTGTGATACTTTGCTGGCACGCGGCTGCTAGGGAAGGCACGCTTCAAGTTGAGGAAATTTGGAATTCGTGCCTGAAGCTGCTTCTAATCTAGGTGGCCCGTCTTGGGGGGGGAGCATTCGTTCAGTGTTGGGGGCAAGAGGACTCACGGGATGTTGAAAACAACTGAGACCTTGCCCCTGGGCAATCAGGAAAAAACACGTTTTGCAGCATGTCCTCTCCAGTTGCTCTCGGCCAGCGCACATGATGGCGCTCGCTAGAATCTCCGAAATAGTTTTTAGTATAATGCGCCGCTTCACTCGGCGAGGCGGAAAATGAGCTGGAGGGTTCAAGAGGCGGTTGAAAATATCAACCGTGCAGAGATCATGAGTCATTCATGGATCTCATCTTCTTAAAAGCAGCCGCACGAGCTTTGGCAGCTTACGCCTTGGCATCCTCCTTGGCCATGTGCTTGATGAGGTCCACGACGCGGCAGGAGTAGCCCCACTCGTTGTCGTACCTTACTTGTGGGCCTCAAAAAAAAACTCAAACTTAAAAAAGGGGCTATATGGCATGTACTATATGGGGTGAAACAAGGATTATGGCCCACAGACCTTCACAAAACTAATTCAGACTGATTCAGAAGTAACCCAAGGTACCAGCAAACCACCTTGACGAAGGTGGGGTCCAGCATGATGCCAGCCTTGGAGTCGAAAGTGCAAGAGATCGGGTTGGTCTCGAAGTCCGTGGACACCAGGCCTCGTCGGTGTAGCCCAGGTAGCCCTTCATGTCGCCCTCGGAACGCTTCTTCATCTCTGCGCAGATCTCCTCGTAGGTGGTCTCCTTCTCCAGCTCGCACGTGAGGTCCACCACGGACACGTCGATGGTCGGCACGCGCAAGGCCATGCCAGTAAGCTTGCCCTTCACAGCCGGAAGGACCTTCGCCACTGCCTTCGCGGCACCAGTGGAGCTGGGAATGATGTTGCCCGGGCCGGCACGTCCCCCACGCCAGTCCTTCTTGGAGGTGCCATCCACGGTGGGCTGCGAGGCGGTCATGGCGTGGCAGGTGGTCATGAGGCCGCGCTTGATGCCGAACTTCTCTTGCAGGACGCGGACTGCTGGGGCCAGGCCGTTGGTGGTGCAGGAGGCACAGGACACGCACTCCATGGATGGATCATAGGTGTCCTCGTTCACGCCCATGACGATGGTGTGGGAGTCGTCCTTGGCGGGAGCGGAGAAGATCACCTTCTTGGCACCGGCCTTCAAGTGAGGCTGCACCTTGTCGGTGGTCAGGAACACGCCCGTGGACTCGCACACGTACTCTGCACCATGCTCCTTGAAGGGAATCTCTGCAGGGTCACGGGTGTGGGACAGTGCCACCGTCTGCCCGTCAATGACCAGGGAGTCGCCATCGACCTCGACAGTTCCATCATACTTGCCATGAATCGTATCGTACTTCATCATGTAGGCCAAGTAGTCTGCGTCGTAGCTCGCATTAATCAACTTCAAGTCGGTCTCCGGATCCTTCATGGCGATGCGGGCCACCTGGCGACCGATGCGGCCGAAGCCGTTGATGCCCACGCCCACGGCCTGGAGGGAGGTGCGTCCCTTGCTGGCGCGCTTGCCAGCCACTCCTGCGGCGGCCAGGCCAGCCACGGCACCGAGGCCGGCCATGGCGCCAACGCCGGCAGCCTGAGAAGAGCCATAGCCTGCTGCGCGGAGGTTGGTCCTCTGCGTCTGGGGCTCACTGCGCTGGACCTGGCCCGCAGGCGCCACGAAGGCACCGCTCAAGGCACCCGCTGCCGCGAAGGCACCGACGCCGGCCATGGCAACGTTGGTGGCGGTGGAAGGCATGGTGGCAAGGACCAGATGAGGGCTGTGATACTTTGCTGGCACGCGGCTGCTCGGGAAGGCACGCTTTAAGTTGATGAGTTTTGGAATTCGTGTCTGAAGCTGCTTCAAATCTAGGTGGCCCGTCTTGCGGGGGGGAGCATTCGTTCAGTGTTGGGGGCAAGAGGACTCAAGGGATGTTGAAAACAACTCAGGCCTTGCCCCTGGGCAATCAGGAAAAAACAACGTTTTTGCAGCATGTCCTCTCCAGTTGCTCTCGGCCAGCGCACATGATGGCGCTCGCTAGAATCTCCGAAATAGTTTTTAGTATAATGCGCCGCTTCACTCGGCGAGGCGGAAAATGAGCTGGAGGGTTCAAGAGGCGGTTGGAAGTATCAACCGTGCAGAGATCATGAGTCATTCATGGATCTCATCTTCTTAAAAGCAGCCGCACGAGCTCTGGCAGCTTACGCCTTGGCATCCTCCTTGGCCATGTGCTTGATGAGGTCCACGACGCGGCAGGAGTAGCCCCACTCGTTGTCGTACCTTGCTTGTGGGCCTCATAAACTATATGGCATGTACTATATGGGGCGATACAAGGATTATGGCGCACAGACCTTCACAAAACTAATTCAGACTGATTCAGAAGTAACCCAAGGTACCAGCAAACCACCTTGACGAAGGTGGGGTCCAGCATGATGCCAGCCTTGGAGTCGAAAGTGCAAGAGATCGGGTTGGTCTCGAAGTCCGTGGACACCAGTGCCTCGTCGGTGTAGCCCAGGTAGCCCTTCATGTCGCCCTCGGAACGCTTCTTCATCTCTGCGCAGATCTCCTCGTAGGTGGTCTCCTTCTCCAGCTCGCACGTGAGGTCCACCACGGACACGTCGATGGTCGGCACGCGCAAGGCCATGCCAGTAAGCTTGCCCTTCACAGCCGGAAGGACCTTCGCCACTGCCTTCGCGGCACCAGTGGAGCTGGGAATGATGTTGCCCGGGCCGGCACGTCCCCCACGCCAGTCCTTCTTGGAGGTGCCATCCACGGTGGGCTGCGAGGCGGTCATGGCGTGGCAGGTGGTCATGAGGCCGCGCTTGATGCCGAACTTCTCTTGCAGGACGCGGACTGCTGGGGCCAGGCCGTTGGTGGTGCAGGAGGCACAGGACACGCACTCCATGGATGGATCATAGGTGTCCTCGTTCACGCCCATGACGATGGTGTGGGAGTCGTCCTTGGCGGGAGCGGAGAAGATCACCTTCTTGGCACCGGCCTTCAAGTGAGGCTGTACCTTGTCGGTGGTCAGGAACACGCCCGTGGACTCGCACACGTACTCTGCACCATGCTCCTTGAAGGGAATCTCTGCAGGGTCACGGGTGTGGGACAGTGCCACCGTCTGCCCGTCAATGACCAGGGAGTCGCCATCGACCTCGACAGTTCCATCATACTTGCCATGAATCGTATCGTACTTCATCATGTAGGCCAAGTAGTCTGCGTCGTAGCTCGCATTAATCAACTTCAAGTCGGTCTCCGGATCCTTCATGGCGATGCGGGCCACCTGGCGACCGATGCGGCCGAAGCCGTTGATGCCCACTCCCACGGCCTGGAGGGAGGTGCGTCCCTTGCTGGCGCGCTTGCCAGCCACTCCTGCGGCGGCCAGGCCAGCCACGGCACCGAGGCCGGCCATGGCGCCAACGCCGGCAGCCTGAGAAGAGCCATAGCCTGCTGCGCGGAGGTTGGTCCTCTGCGTCTGGGGCTCACTGCGCTGGACCTGGCCGGCAGGCGCCACGAAGGCACCGCTCAAGGCACCCGCTGCCGCGAAGGCACCGACGCCGGCCATGGCAACGTTGGTGGCGGTGGAAGGCATGGTGGGCCGAAGGGTCGGTCGAAAGGAGGCGTGCTGCCTTGCTCTTGAGCCAGCTATCAGCTATCGGCATTAGGGAGCCCCTTTCCCAGAACCTCTGTCAGAAAGAATCCGAATCGACAGATCTCAGGGTGCACTGACGAAGGAATAGGCTCCTGATTGTGAACCGCGGTATATTCCTCAATTGAACGAGTTCGGTCTAACTCGACCCCAGCTAAACCCTGAACCTTAAACCCTAAACCCTAAACCCCAAACTCTAAACCCAAAGGAAGCCTCCGGGCTGCGCTCCCTTGCTAAGCAGCTGATCAGCCTGGGCTGCGCCGTGGCTTTTCGTTTCGGTCTTGCAGATATAGGGTTTGGGGTTCAGGGTTTAGGGTTTGGGGTTTAGGGTTTGGGGTTTAGGGTTTGGGGTTTAGGGTTTGGGGTTTAGGGTTTAGGGCTTGGGGTTCAGGGTTTCGGGCTTAGGGTTTTGGGCCTTAGGCGGCTAGAGAACTGTTAGGGGGGAGTCTTGAAAGGCGTGTTGCCGGCGAACTTTCATGAGGTTTTTTTGGCGTGGGGCTTTTGGGTTCTGGGGCTTCCGGGCTACAGCTTGGGGGAAGAGCCCTGTTCTGCTTAATGGGACTCTTCAGGGAGCCTCATCCCGGAAAACCCTAAACCCTAAACCCTAAACCCTACACCCTAAACCCTAAACCCTAAACCCTAAACCCTAAAACAGCGGAAAAGAGACTAGGGACCCTAGCCGCCTCAGGGCTTCGGTCCTACGGGCTTGCAGGCTGCTGCGTGTGGTTTAGTGGTTGAGGGTTTAGGGTTTAGGGTTGAGGGTTTGGGGTTTAGGGTTTAGGGTTTAGGGTTTAGGGTTTAGGGTTTAGGGTTTAGGGTTTAGGGTTTAGGGTTTAGGGTTTAGGGTTTAGGGTTTAGGGTTTAGGGTTTAGGGTTTAGGGTTTAGGGTTTAGGGTTTAGGCCCTGTTTCGGGGTTTAGGATTTAAGGGTTGATGGATTGATCTCGGTGTGGAGTTGCCGATGCTTTACAAAGTCATCAAAACTCTCCCCTCTGCCCCAGCGAGCGCCCTTAAACCCCATAGAAGCCTACCTAAACCCCAAAACCCTGAAAACCCCATGGTACAAGCAACCCCAAACCCTGAACCGGAAATTAAATCTTTAATAAACCCTAAACTCTAAACCCTAAACCCTAAACCCTAAACCCTAACCTCTAAACCTTCCCAAGCTCTGCAGCACACTTTCGTCCACCCCCCCGACGCAGCCCGGCAACGGCTTGGTGCTGCTGCGCCGTGACACGAAGCCAGATTTCAAGTAGCACCTCTGGGCTTCCAGGGTTTCTAGGGCTTAGGGTAGTTTAGGGTTTAGGGTTTAGGGTTTAGGGTTTAGGGTTTGGGGTTAAAGGCTTAGGGTTTAGGGTTTAGGGTTTAGGGTTCAGGGTTTAGGGTTTAGGGTTTAGGGTTTGGGGTTTAGGGTTTAGGGTTTAGGGCCGTTTAGGGTTTAGGGTGTAGGCTAGAAATTCGGGGCTCCGGGTTGTACGCATGCGCCGCAGAAACTCCCACAGGGACAGCTGCAAGGCCCCTCGGAACCTCGAATGCTTCCTCAAGGCGCGAAGACCCTCGAGCTTGAAGGGTTTAGGGTTTAGGGTTTAGGGTTTAGGCTTTAGGGTTTAGGCTTTAGGCTTTAGGCTTTCGGCTTTAGGCTTTAGGCTTTAAGGCTTTAAGGCTTTAGGGCTTGAAGGCTTTAAGGCTTTAAGGCTTTAAGGCTTTAAGGCTTTAAGGCTTTAAGGCTTTAAGGCTTTAAGGCTTTTAGGCTTTTAGGCTTTTAGGCTTTTAGGCTTTTAGGCTTTTAGGCTTTTAGGCCTTTTTGGCTTTTAGGCTTTAAGGCTTTAAGGCTTTGAGGCTTTAGGCTTAAGACTTAAGGCTTAAGGCTTAAGCTTTAAGGCTTTAGGCTTTAGGCTTTAGGCTTAAGGCTTAAGGCTTAAGGCTTTAGGCTTTAGGCTTTAGGCTTTAGGCTTTAGGCTTCTAGGCTCTAGGCTCTAGGCTCTAGGCTCTAGGCTCTAGGCTCTAGGCTCTAGGCTCTAGGCTCTAGGCTTTAGGCTTTAGGCTTTAGGCTTTAGGCTTTAGGCTTTAGGCTTTAGGCTTTAGGCTTCAGGCTTGAGGCTTGAGGCTTGAGGCTTGAGGCTTGAGGCTTGAGGCTTGAGGGCTTTAGGCTTTAGGCTTTAGGCTTTAGGCTTTAGGCTTTAGGTTTTAGGCTTTAGGCTTTAGGCTTTAGGCTTTAGGCTTTAGGCTTTAGGCTTTAGGCTTTAGGCTTTAGGCTTTAGGCTTTAGGCTTTAGGCTTTAGGCTTTAGGCTTTAGGTTTTAGGCTTTAGGCTTTAGGCTTTAGGCTTTAGAGCCTCGGGGGGGCTGGGAGATCGCAGGGTCGGCGAGGGTACGGCACCACTGCTTGGGGTACTCTTGAAACATGATCATTTGTTGTTCCCTCTTGGGCTTAAGTGTTCATGACAAGGTAAAACTATGTTCAACAATGTTAGGGGTCAGGGGTTAGGGTCTGGGGTTGGGGACTGGGGGTTTGGGAGGTAGGGGTTCAGGGCTCATGGGTCTAGATGTGTATAGGTAGGTCATACATGCCGCGATTGCGATAGATAGCTGGCGAAGGGCTTCGAGGTTTGGGGTCAAATCCCAAAACCCTAAACCCTAAACCCTACACCCTAAACCCTAAACCCCAAACCCTAAACCCTAAACCCTAAACACAGAACACAGAACGCAGCCAAGCGGCTCGCGCCAGTGCTCATCCCACACTCCCACCTCCAACGGAGGTGGTTTAGGGTTTAGGGCTCAGGGCTTAGGGCTTAGGGCTTAGGGCTTAGGGTTTAGGGTTTAGGGTTTAGGGTTTAGGGTTTAGGGTTTAGGGTTTAGGGTTTAGGGTTAGGGCATCGTCTGGGAACGCGAAGCACAAGTTCTTGCAAGTGCCGCTACAGTTCGGGTAACAGAATGTTTATAGAAGGACTACATGAAAGGAAACTTCCCACGTGAAACTGTCCTAGACTCAGTTGGCCCCCCAATGAAAAAACTCCCATAACCCAAAACCCGAAACGCCAGGCTCGTGCCATACCTCTACCCTCAATCCACGGAAACACCGATTCTCCCGAAATCCCAGCTCAAAAAACGC